AGGAGGAGGAGGAGGAGGAGGAGGAGGGGAGGAGGAGGAGAAGGAGGAGGAGGACCACAAGTGCACACATTCACGCACACGCACGAACATAATATAGATATACATGCCCTCGTGCATCAATGTGGAAAGGCCAAACTTTTCCCCTCCCATCAAAGGGAGAGTGAAACAAACTTCATGGTTTACCTGGTACAATCCTTATAAGGGGTGTCCACTACGGCTGGCTCAGGCCGATCGCCCGACTAGGTCTCCTGAAACTGAAAACAAACACTTTTGTTTTTTAGGTGACTGAGTCGAGCGATCGGCTCGATCGTCCGATCCCATCCGCCGTGGGCATCCCGTATTAAACATCGAAACAAAACAGAAGGAGGCTGCTTATACTGACGCGACCTTAGCATCACATGTTGTCTCGGTGGTATCCATGATCTGAACGTTTGCATTGACTGGACTTTATGTCGACGAGAGAACATGGTTTGAAAAGTAAACGCTCACTGTGGCACTTGACAACCTACTCAACATCTCACAAGTCAAGACTAGAGTTATGAAAATTTTCTCCAAAAAGCACAAACCCATGCACAACATCAGCAAGGTATACATCAATGTCTGTGTTAATAATGGAAGTGAGCACGAAGACAATAATATCTTGCCAGCTTGAGCCAAGGCGACCTTGGAATAAAAGTACCGGTACATTAGATAAACAGACACAGAGAAAATCGAGCCCCGGGGCGGGAGGGGGGAGGGTTTGAAGACCATTGTGCTACAACCATGGAAGTACTTACGCCTCTAATAGACCTAATGAAAGCAATTCTCTTGACACATACCTGTAAGGAGCATTTCTATAAAAGCTCTATTATAATATTTTAAGCAGCAATGCTGAAATTTCCGAATATATAACCAACTATTTTACCAACTGCACTGAATTGAAATTGAATTTCAGAGATCTTCTTGGGCACAGGTAGCATGGATCAAATTAGAGCCAGGGATATCGTGTAGTCAAGAAATGCACAAGGCGAAACATAAAAAGATGATTAAACTACATTTGTAGAAGAATGTTACGTTAAACAAAAGTAAATAGAGCGATGAACTGAAAATTTTCTTGATTTGTATTCATGACCACATCAGCAGATGTTGCCCTCATTCCTGCGTAGGTTCAAACAACTGGAGACACAAGGTAGAAGAAGAAATTAAATGAAATGGTATAGGTTTAACGCCCTATCAACACTATTAGGTTAGGTAGAAGAAGTTCAGTCAAAAGTAAGCCATGTCATTGAAAACAAAACGTTCACCGTGCATGACAAAGACACAGTATCTGTTAATTTGATGAAGAGCGAGCAGCTTGCATTTGCTTTTTGTATAGGATGTACCAACAGTCGCACACTATCCTGGAAACTTTCTTCACAAACAGGAATTCACGATTTGATGGAAGCACTATCTGTTTTGTTGTAGTAGAGGTTTTACGCCGCTCGAAACTGCTAAGGTCATATGAGCGCCAAGGGGTGGATGTCAACAGAGAAGCCCTTAGAGGGAACCAGGCTTACTCTGCTCACCTCTCTAGCTTCAACAGCACAAAGTCTGCTTCGACTATCAAGGCTCCCCGGAAATAGCGGGTCACAAGAGAATGACAAACATATTATAAAGAAGTAGAAGAAAAATGAGGGTATTAAGGATTAGAAAAGAAAAAAACACCAGTTCCCTGTTGAAGTTCAGGCACAGTTGCGAGCATGACATTGATGAATCAGCCCATTTACAATTACAATTCTACTGTGCATAAGAACATGGTTAATGTCCTGTCCCCCTTTGGGAAATTGCCTAAAGACAGGAAGCACTAACACTACGGAGTGCGAATAGATTACGCCTGAAACGCTCAAGCGTGTAAAAGAAAGTTTTTTTGAGAGAGTGGATGCGTGTTCTATTTCAGAGAGAAAGAGCTCAATTCAAGAATGTATGAAAGACTAATCGTTAGCTCAGAACTAAAAAGTTCTATCTGTTCAGCACCTAGTTTTGAGAAATTTGACGTCAAGAAGTTTGAGTTTCAGAACATGTCAAGCTTTTTCAAATGCAACTCTTTGAATATCTTTTTAGTACGGTTTTTACGGCGCTGGCAACTGACTGCATACGGTCATATGAGCGCCTTTGAATATCTTGATAACGATTCTGAATAATCTTACAATTTTGACAGAGCAGATGGAACATTTGGTATCTAACCTCGTGGTCTTGGTAACTCACAACGGGCAAAATGTCAAATAGAACTTTGTAATTCGTAGGTATCGTAATATCAACCTGGTTTTTTTTTCTAATGGAAACCGGGACGGTGTGAAACTATTGGGACACCCTATACGATTAACCTACCTGAGAAGATATTTTGAAAAGAAAAAAGGTACCTGTATATTCCTGTAATATAAACACCCAATGGGATGGCTGCAGTAACTGTAACTGCAACAGTTACAGCAAAACCCTAGTTTATACGTCTTTGTGAAAGCCCAAGCAAGAATAATGCCATTCAGGCTTCAGTTTTCTTGGAAAACCAGTGCCCTCTGGGTCATCTTGTAGATTTGTAACGTGTGGGTCTGTAGTGGACATAGTGCTTTTCAAACTACTTTTGTAAAAGAAGTGCAGAGAGCAAAAAAAAACGTGTAAAGTTCATCTGAAGGCCTACCCAGTATCTGGTCTACCCAGGAAAAAGTTGGGGGGGGGATTCTGTAAATAATTTTTGAGGACTTTGGATTTTGGTTCCTTTCCTCTGTCCTCCCAATTTTCTTTTTCCCAATTAAAAAAAAGACCAGTAACAATGAGTGGATGAGATTACAATATGAAGGACTGTCTGAAATAAGAAGCGATATGGGGGAAAAGGACAAATAGAGAAGGTTCCCAAAACGTTCTCCGTACTCTAAACACGACCAACTTAAAATAATCTACTAAAAAGTAAGACTAAATATCAAATCGGTTTAGCAGTCTCCAATCCCTCAATCCTCCCCCCC